CATTCTTCGCCCATTTTTCTGAATCACACAAACAATGCCAACAACAAAATTAAGATTGATTCTTGAAAGCCTCACATTATCAATAGAATGAAAGAGCTTACGGATATCAGAGGTATACAGAACATGGGACTTGATGTTTGAAAGCCATAAACAGAAACACAAATTGGAACAACGTGCACCCATTGTATAACTTTTTGTAGAATTCAGATATATTAAATTTAAGAAGAAAAAAAAAGACCTTTAGGGAGATAAAGAATGCTGAAAATACTATTATCTTCTTCAAAACTTACTTTAGAAAGTTATTTATAATTTATTTTTAAATAATCTGATAAATATACTTATGGCAATCATCCCAATGAACTGAAGTTTCATAGCAGCACCAACAACAGCAGAAGAAAGAAGAAGAAGAAGAAGAAGAAGAAGAAGAAAAGGAAGGAGGAAGAAAAAGGGGACTGAAATTGTTTAAAAAGTGAGTGCAAGTTAAAACTTTTAATAAAATTGGGTATAGGTTAAATGGGGGCGACCAAATAGGACGCCCCGTGCGATTTTTACGAATATTTGATCCCTATGTTTTTCCCCTTTGGTGTCATAAGGTTGATATATCAAATGAAAATTAAACAAAAGCTAAGAAGTAAAGGAAACAAAAAAAGAAATAGCAAAGGCAAACGGATGAAGAAAAAGAAGAAAAATCAATCAAACGCACATATGTTTCTCCTATGCCTTTTTTCTCCTGTTCTAAATTTCTAATTGCAGCAACCCAAAGCGCCTAATTCTTTCATGAATGTTTTAGTTATTTTCCAACGATTTGATTGTTTAATACAGCTTAATTCTGAAAGCAAAATGTTTGATTATTGATCCGTGCTATTTAATTTGCCATATATATATTATTATAAAAGCATGAATAAAATGTTCGATTACAAAAATAACATTTTAATATTAAGCATAATAACTCACAGTAAAAGGATATAATCGGAATTCTAGATATTAAACTTGTAATCCTATTAGTTTTAGGACATAATACTAAACATAAGGAATCCTACGTGATTACCTTTAGGAATCCTATTAGTATAATTATTTTCGGGCATTAGATATAAAAACAACATGTTAGCATATAAACCTAATACCTTCAGGAACATGATAGATTTTCTATTAGTTCACAAAAGGAGATGAAAATATTTTATGTTAGTATTGTTAATCACAATAATTTCATAATAATTATGAATTATATAGACTATTTCGGTAAACGAAGAAAATTAGAGTTCTAAATAGATTCTACCTTAGTATTTTGGTTTCAAAATAAAGAGCGGCTACATATTATCATTTGTTCTGGAGTTGGTTGCATTAAACATTAGTTAAACGCCAATTAAATTGTCTACTTCTTAATTTTTTGACACTAATTACAACTTTTTGCTTTAGTTTCATTAGTTTCTTTAGTTAACTGAATTTCTTAAAGCAAAAGTTTTCATTAATCTATAATCTAGAAACTCTCTGAATAAAGTAATGGCGACATTATGTGAATAGCTTTGACCTAAAATATTATTTTGACTATGTTTGTAATCTATACATATGTGGTACGGTAATTGTTGTTAAAAGTCCTCAAACAAGTTCTATAATCGAAGCTATATGTTCATATATATATTGGAAGAATTCATGAAAAGGTGCAAATCGGTAGAGCATGAAAGTAGTTATACAAAGGTAAGGTATATCATATATGGATATTGTATATAGAAAAAGCACATATTACTTTATTGTATTGAATAATAAATATATGTATAAATCACATAAATCTTGTTCATTTGTTAGATACAAAATATCGAGTTCTAATAAATCTCTAAAAAAATATTCTAACATCAAAAGTTTGCAAGTCGTATTAGCTCGATATTTTTCCTACAAAAAGTTTGCTTTAGATGTCAGGATATTATTCAGAAGGATTCTCTTGTATACTAATTGTATTATACTAAAAAATATTTCAGGAGATAGCTAGGAGTTGATACCTCGAAAATCATAGCTTTCTTTAGTTGAAAGATTTGGAAAGGCATAATCGTGAAATTCATTAAATTTTGGACTCTTTAAAAAAATTAAATGATTCTTTCAAACAAGTAATTCATATCGGATAAAAATAGTGATTCACAATTTAATTTGTTGAAACTTCGGCTATAAATCAAGCTCTAAGGTGTACTGATTACTATCTCATATACTATATTAGGACTTTGAAACAAAATTAGTAACTTACTTTACTTATACAAGAATTTCTTCTGGGATCAATAATGAAGTTTTGAGAAAAGTAAATCACTAAATCAATATTTAAACTAAAAACTTAAACACAAATTATCAACACTCAAATAATTTTAACAATAACAATCACTAACTTTTAATTTTTACCAAAGACAAGAAGTTCAAGTTTCCAAAATTAAAAAAACTAAGATGTTCTAGGTGTGTTTTTGGTGAAGAAAAACAATTACGGCACATATAACTCAAGAAGACTATTTTCGCAATAAAGTAAACGAATGGATAATATCTAAAGACTAATCTCTTAAGGGGACAATCGAATCGATGACATAAAATCATCGAATTCACAAGAGTCCCATTTTATGATATTTATGCTACGCCAAACCGTTTGGACGAACTTATCAAAATCATCAGGTGCAAGAATCAACAAAAGCAAATTGCTATATGGATCTGTAACTTACTATCATTTCTATATGCTTTCCTCTTTACTTTAGGTTGTGGAGTTCTGAGTTGTTAGAGATTTTTGAATTTCTTGGAAGCCAAATCTACAAGACATATGGCTTTAATAAGTTTTTACTCTTTTTTTTTAAAAGAAATATGTTCTTCTCAGTCTATAGTTTGTAATGTGTCAGGAGAAATTAGTACAAGAAGCTGTGGATACACTTCTTGATAATGGAATCCGGGGACAACTAATGAGGGACGGTCATAATAAAGTTTACAAGTCAATTTTCTGATGTAATTGAAGGCAAAGAGGGAAGATTTCGTGAGACTCTGCTTGGCAAACGAGTCGATTATTCAGGACGTTCTGTCATTGTCGTGGGTCCTTCATCAATTGCAATGATTCGATAGACGGCTCATTGGGATAGATGTAGATGAACAACACCCCCCCTAGAAACGTATAGGAAGCTTTCTCCTCGTACGACTCGAGAAAAATGATTGATTTGCGGTTTTGTTTCTGTATGGAATTCTATCTATTATGCAATTTTCACACATCTTTTGCCTATCTCGATAATGTTTTATTTTCGGACGACACGATTAGCTAGAAAATAAATAATAGTAAAAAGAATTCATTTTGAACAATAAATGTCTTTCACATCCAGCTATAACAATGAGTAATTTTTTAATTTCTAAATGGCAGTTCCAAAAAAACACACTAGCTATATATGTGCATTTAGTAACAGATCTAGCTAAAGATAAGAAAGAGATTCACTCAGTTAGAAAGATGGCAAAGTATTGTGAATGGTGATGCATAATATGGAAGATTATTTGTAATAAGGGTTGAAGTAAGTGTAAATTAAAAGTGATAGGTCATTCAAATTTCATAAACTAATTAATTAACTTACGGGGTTTAGCATTACGTGGCTACTTTGTAACTGCTATGTTACCTCAAAATCGAAGTGAGATTAATTAGTTTGTGAAATAAGTCCATACATGAAGGATGAACAATGTAAGAGTTACCATCCTCCAGTATGCAGTAATAAATCAATGTACAAAATGATGGACACTATTTATGGGAGAAGAAATGATAGGAAAATTACAAATGTTCCTTAGCATGATAATGAACAACCAAATGAAATGAGCCATATAATCCTTCTTTACTAACTAGATACAATTGCAACATTAATATAGAAACTTGCACCAAGAGTATAAAAATAGTAAAGTATCTATATAATTTATACAAAGGTCATGATAGTTGTGTTCTTTATATCATGTTAGATAAGGAAAAAATCAGTTTAAGTACTCGTACAAAGATAGTATGCAAAGATTTTAACAACATATGTGATACCTACATATTGAACAAATATGGCTCCAAAACATGTGTACTCCAAGAATCAACTTTCTCCTCTAATAAGTGGATATCCTTTTATATTTATTTGGAAATAAGTACATTTTTTTTCAACAACAAATGCTCATACGATTCTCAATGTTGTACTATAATTACGGCGACTTATTTTCTATCCGAACAACTTTATGTTGCATTTTCAAGAGGTATATCAATATAGAGAATAGAGTATTAAACATGACACAGTAACTACAACAACATAAGCATCTAACTAACTTAATTAATTTGATTATTTTTGCAAGTTCAAACATTATT